ACATTTATTCCTAATAAAAACTTTATCATCTTTATAAATAGACTAAAATAATTAGAATAAAGTTGGAATAATAACATTTAATGTCATATGTAAATAAAAAGTATGGTAACCAAATTGAAACTCCTAAGTTTAACAATTGGAATTAGAATGGAGGGAGTAAATGAGAATAGTCTTTTAAGTCTATGACTAATAATCAAGACGAATGGTGCTTTAGGGACCAAAATAGGATCGGACTCCTTCCCTGCTCACTGGTATCATGACATTCAGACATTGTCTTAATTACCTAAGTCCTTTTCTTTGGTCTTTGATTGACATGTACAGGATGCACAATTCCCAACGAGATCATGAGTTTACCATCCCTTAAGTTGTTATCTGTTGATAACGGCAAGATTAGTTTTTACCCTTCTAAGATTTCCAATTTGTATGATTACTCCAGGAATATGTACCTTCGTTTGTCTCTAGCATAGTAGCATCCCAAAGTGATGTAGGACAGCCTTGAGGAAAAAAGGAGGAAGTAGGGATTAGGGATGAATTCAGGGTTTTCTTTTGAAGGGGTTTGATTGATAGAATAGAAGCTGCAGTAGGGTTTAAGGTTGCTGTGAACAATAATTCAAGTTACTGTTGCAGCAATAGAAAGTAGTAGAAAGGGAAAAGATCAAGAATGCAATAGAACTAAAAGTTCTCCAAATTAATAACGACATAATAATTTCATAAAACTCAAAGCCTGCCACATTCCTTCATTAAAAGAGACATATAGTTGTAAGAAAGAATTACCAAGGCCATTTTTTTTTTCTTTTTCGAAAGTCAAAAGATTTAATTGAATGGGTACAAAGGGTACCCAAACCCGTATACATTAGTCAATCCCTAATAGAATGAAGAACCAAAAAACAGTATAGCATTGGGAGACCCATTTACAAAAACTTGCAACACCTGGGGTTTAAGATCCAGTTAGAGAAGTAGAAATGTACTTCCTTTCCTTTGCTCTTGACACAGAGGAAGGCTTGAGCCTGAACTTGATCGAAAGTCTTTGTCAAATCCATCGATTTACCTCTAAAGATTACCTCATTCCTAGTAGTCCAGATGGTCCAGACAAGAGAAAACCACACTATAATCCAACTCAGCTGTTCACTACTTTTAGTAGCTAAGGATTCATGTTGGATGAAAGAATCCCAACATTACCAAGGCCATTTTATAGTTGTGGTTTTTAGTTTTTATAAATTTTGAAACTCGATCTAAATAGAAAAATTTGTTTTCATGTATTATGCAATATTTTATCTTTATTATTAGAGAAATAAGAATAAAAATAGTTTTAATACTGTTAAACAAATTTATATTTTTTGTTCTTAGTGTTGAAAAGAGTCTTAAACAAATTGTTAATTTTTAGTTTTTAATTTTGATTTTCAATAGCTGCAAAATTTATGAAAACCAAAGCTAAAAATAAAAAATGATGACTATACTAAACATAGCCTTATCAAATTAGGGTAGCCTTATCAAATTAGGGTTCTAAGAATTTGATAATAAAATTAATATCTTATTTAATAAAGATTCAATATCTCTAATAAAAGACTTAGCAAACCTATTGGGATTCTAAGGGGTTATTTGGCATTGAAGTTAATGGTTTCGTTTAAGTTGCAACATAATAGTGTTCGATAAAGTATTTTTTTACTAGTTGTTAGGTATTTGGTGTTTGGTAATATTTTTTTTTGAATGGTGTCAGTTAGATCCTAATTCCTAGTAGATTGAAAAAATTCCTTCAAATAACTTTTTATCCCAAATTGCTAGCGGATTGGAAATTTAAAATTATTATGAAAGTTTTAAATTATTATGAAAAATTTACTCGTAAAATAATTAGGTATAAAATGCAGGCTTAAGGCACAACTCCTTCCCTCCTATATTTACAATATACCAAACAGCTCCTAAGAAAGACCAAATCATCATGGAGATAGGAAACTAATAATAGCCTAGACTAAAATATTTTCTTTGAGATCGCAAACTAATACCCAAATATGCATGATTGCATAACAAGTTTAAATTAATCTTCCATGAGTTTTTCCTTCACTGCATCACAAAGTTTCTCTCATTCTCTTTTACTTTAAATACATTTGTCCTTTATATTCTTTAAATATATTATATCTTATCTAATTATTTTTTCCAAATCCTAATAGATTGTTAGAGAATTCACTATTTTATTTTGAAGCCTATCAACTTAGATCGGTGTGAAATTGATTTGTCAAATAACGTACCCTAAAAACTCATCCATCTCTTCCTAAGGTTTTTGAATCAATGACCTTTATATAGGGACTACGCCAATGTTTATCTAGTGGAAGAAGAATGAGTAGATACGATTTTGTAACTAATTAAGTACCTTTTTCCCTATTTTATGAATTGTTGGTCATTTCCGTAGGAAAGACAATCAAACAAAGCATGTTGCAAAAAGTTTTTAATTATTGGTTTTTTTTATTGTATTTATATATGAATTTGGTAAATAATCTACAATGTATAATTAGAACACTGAGATAGAGGATGGGGATGTATATAGTGTATGAGTGTTGGCCTGATGTCTATGTGTTTTGACCATCTAGGAAGGGACTGAGGCTCTGCGATTGGGGAGGGCTTCCTACCTTGTGCAGGACATGGTATGATTAATCCATAATCCACCCAGAGATGGGGTCTCTTGGTTTGTCTTTGTTCACCCTAAGCTGGCACTACTAAAATTTTTGTTTTCAGCAACTAAGTATCAGCAACATGAAATTGCTTGTCAGTGATGTGAATTTTCACCGACAAAACCCATGTTGCTAATACTTAAATAGTACACATGGGAGGATAGCTGATATGTTTTGTGAGAGTTTAAGAACAGACAAGCTGTTCCTTTAAATTTTACTTCTGTAGCTACTATCAGTCCCTTAAGGCAGTCACATATATATTGATCTCTAGATGTGTGCCATCTCTTTGTCCTTGAATTTCTTATTTACGAAGGCCATGCAACCATGTAGGCTATAGTTTAGTTTTTGTTTATGTGGTATTTTTGAGTCAATCCTATGATACTTAGACGGTAAATTATTTGGATGGAACCATGTATAACAAACTAAGAAAATTAGATCAGCAGCTTCTCTCTTTGGACTGTCTATGATGAAAGAAATTTGATGTTTGCCGCTTTCCACTATATTTGTAATTCCTAGCAAACAACTAAAAAGTGGTAGCATGTTAGTGAGTTGGGGAGGTTTCTAACAGTAGCAAACACCCTTTGGCTTGTTACCACTATGCTTAATGGGGAAAAGAGGCCTTGGGGTATGGCTCCACTCTTGTTTTTGAGTTTGAGCTTAAAATAGGGTTTCAATGTTCTCTTTTCATGGTTCTCTACTGCCACATGAGTTTAGTCTTCTTTGTTAGAGTTAATTGAGACTTTTGGTTTGATACGTTGGATAATAGGATATATATCGAAGGATAGCCCTTCCTTTCTCATA